AATAATGTCACAGTTGGGTATTCATATTACTTGATATATTATATAGTATTTAAAAAAATTTCATTAATTACTACTATTATTATTATTATTATTAGTAATATTATTTTCTGTTTTTAAATATACATTCCGTGATTTCTGCAGCATCCACCATTTGAATACATTAATATTTATTGTCTTATATAAATATCTATCAATTTCATCTAAATGTTTATGAGTTATTGTGTTTTTGTATTCTAAACATTGCATTAAAAAGTAATTTTGCTGTAATGAGTTAGATTCATCATTAAGATTTTGAGCATCTTGAACTTCCGATGAGGTTACATTTAAAGAAATACTTTCAAGCAATACTCCTTTTTTTACTTCCTCCTCATAAATTATGAGTTGAAAACCAACAGTATTTAAAGATGATGGATTTGATGTTGTTGTTTCTAGGTTTAGAGTAGGACTACAAATATAAGAATCATGATTTTCATAATCTTTTAATACTGAATCAATAGCATAATTTTTTGATAAGTGAAATAAGTGAGTTGATCTGATGAGCAGTCAAAAACAGATTTATCTCTAGTTCAGGATTTATTCAGCTAATTGATTGTTTTTCCTGCAAAAATAATCCAAAAACCTGTACTATTAAAGCTGTGTTGACTTCAAAAAAAAAAGATTCATCAAAGTCTTCTATGCTGTTAATGAATTGAATGGAATTGGTGTAATACAAATATGTCCAGAGTCACATTGCCATGTTTTTCTGTTTAATAATATTTTTAAGGAAGATAAATTTTTAATTAATTATGGCAAAACATTTCACCAGTTTAATCATGACATCATCACTGTCTCATTTTTGACATTTAACTTTAGTAATTATCAATCAGTCATCATTTATCATTTTATTTTATTTTATTTTATTTTATTGGCAAAATCATGTAAAAAGTCATGTTATTTGTAATACTTGAAATCTCCTTCAGTGAAAAAAAATTAAAAAATAATTGATCTTTCAATAATAATACTTTGGTAATAAAAATATCACTTTCATTAATTAATAAATCTGGCATGGTTGATTGATTCATAACCCTTTTGGCCAACATTTAATTATTAGTTAGGAATCCTTTTATTAGTTTTACTATATTGCTTGTAGGGATGCTCCAAGTAGTGTAGTTGTACGTGGTGATTTTAGTTTAGTTTGAATATTATTGTGCCAGATTTGGTGACTCTGCAATAGAGTAGTTTCTATTCGCAATAAAATTTTTGTTTGAATTATTCAAATCATTCGTTTATTCGAATTGTTATCATTCGTTTATTATTCGAATTGTCATCATTAATTTATTTGAATTGTTATCATTCGTTTATTTGAATTGCTATCATTCGTTTATTTGAATTGTTATCATTTGTTTATTATTTGAATTGTTATCATTTGTTTATTATTCGAATTGTTATCATTTGTTTATCATCATTCGAATTGTTGTCATTTGTTTATTATTCGAATTGTATCATTCGTTTATTATCGAATTGTCATCATTCATTTATTTGAATTGTTGTCATTCGTTTATTCAAATACTTGTTTGCTTGAATTATTCATTTTATTTTGTTTATTCTTTTATTCAAATTATTCGTTTTACTTGAATTATTTGTTTTACTCGAAATTATTCGAACCATTCGAATTGTTCATTTTATTTCGAACTATTCATTTATTCGTTTATTTGAACTATTTGAATTATTTCATTTATTTGTTTTATTTAAATTATCTATCACTATTGAATTATTTGTTTATTCGTCTTATTCATTATTCATTTTATTCAAATAAACTTTCAATGTAATTTGAATACTCAAATTCATAATGAGTAAAACATATAATTCAAATAAACCTTATTCGAATGGAACCCTAATCAAGCATGTAGTGATTTTAGTTTAGTTTGCCATATTTGATGACTCTAATAACTCAGATCACACATTTGCAATATTTATTACAGTTTTACAACTTTAGGGTGTCAATGCTGAATTGTTGTATATAGTTCAGGTAAAATTTAGATTTTGTGATACATACATATTTATGGCTGAAAAAAATTTTTTTTGACAAATTATACAAAAACCATGATGGAATACACCATGGATGAAAATAAACATCATGACAATACTTCTACTGGCAAAAATAATGAATATTCTGATAAAAGAAAATACCATTATGGGAAATGTCCAACATGCAATAAATATAATACTAATTATTCATGGTGTCAATCATGCAATCCAAAGCTATTAACTGAAGGATGGACT